GTAATAAAATTAAATCCAAACCCAAGCATTCCACTGTAAGACTTCAAGATAGTAAGGGCTCATTCTGCGTAGATCGAATCAAAAAATTAATATTAAAAACTGAAGGTAGCCGGGCTAACTATGATATCGGGACGTCAAACACCTCAGTCCCCCGCCCCCGTAACCACAGGTGCTAATAAAGCACCCGAAACGTCGGAAATTAAAAAAGTTAAATTAAACGCAATAAAATCCTTAGCAATTAGTTTCGTTTAATGTGTAGTATTCGCGTGAATATAAGAAACCATTATGATACTCGTCATCTAGAAATTAATGTGACCATTACAAAAACATCTACATACCTGCCAAACTTATTCTGCGGTCGGTCATCGTGCACTCGCCTCGCTTGTGTTTCTAAAGCCAACATGCCAACTCTGTACGCGGCAAGCAGACGCCTCAGCTGCGCCTGCGGTAGAGGTGGAGGCCCCGGCGTGGGAGGGGGGAGGCTGCTAACTTTCACGTTTCCCACGTTGCTCACACAGCTCACGCTGCCCACGCCACTGACATTGTTAACAGTACCTACTGTAGGTATCGTACCCACTCCCGTTACCGCGCTATGGGTTGTTGGCATTGGAGGGGGGATTGGCGCTGGGTGCTATAACAAAATATCATAATATTATTGATTATTTTTTTATTTACTATTAAATAACTTATTTATCAACAATAAAAAACTATATTTAATTATCTTAAAAACAGTTAAATGAAAATAGCTTTGGCATTTTGACGAGTTGAAAGTTAAAATCTATAATAACAAAAACAATAATGTTTTTGCAATCGAATAATGAAATGGAGTATTGGAACTCCGGATTAGCGCTCTATAATCAGTAATAATTGTTTATTTTATTCTGTGCCACAATTACAAGTCATAACGTTGTGTTAAGTGCTTTGACAAGACATGTTAACGATTAGTACGGAATAATGACATTATTTAGAGTATTAATCCGCTTACATTAACCGCTATAGGCGTGGCATGTGTCGGGAGCGGCGGATGTGTCGCGTGCGTCGCATGCGGTTGGTGTGCAGGATGGGCTGGATGCGGCTGGTGCACCGGATGCGGCTGGTGCGTTGGATGTGGCGTATGCGTCGGGTGCGCGGCGTGCGTGGGGTGCGCCATGTGCTGCGGCAGTGGCGCGTGCGCGTGCGGCGGCGCCACCAGCCCGCGCACGAAGTACGGCGGCAGCGCGTACTGCGGCCCCGGATGCCCGCCCGGCGCACCTCCATACTGCAAATAAATGTATTGGATGGAACCGTATTGAAATAAATTTGTCCATAAGTGAAGACCTAATCTGAATTAAATTATTGTTCAGCACTCAACATTGCAACGCATAGGCCCAATGACCGCAGTTAGAAAAACTCACGCACGCCAACAGTTGTTGCTAAGTAACGTTAACGTACAATGTAAATTTGTATTTATATCCAATTGTAACATATTGTGAATAAAATCCTCCTTCAACGCTAGACCACGACTTCGTTACAATCGCCGTGACACATTCACTAATCATATGATGAGTGTAAAGAACTAGATATCCTTGTATTGTCTTCTGGCGTCAGGGGTCCGCATTTAATAGTTATTGACAATGAATAGATTAGATTTCTATGGGCACACATGATCCAATTAACGTCAGGTTGACTATGTGATCGTTTGTCACGATTATTCTATAAACAAAAAAACAATGAGAAAAGGATGTGCATGTGTACGTACCACACACATGATCCACTTAACGTCAGGTGGACTATGTGCTCGTTTGTCACGATTATTCTATAAACAAAAAAACAATAAAAGAAGTATGGTGCATGTATACGCACACATGATCCACTTAACGTCAGGTGGACTATGTGCTCGTTTGTCACGATTATTCTATAAACAAAAAAACAATAAAAGAATTATGGTGCATGTGTACACACACATGATCCACTTAACGTCGGGTGGACTATGTGCTCGTTTGTCACGATTATTCTATAAACAAAAAAACAATGAAAAAAGGATGTGCATGTGTACACACACATGATCCACTTAACGTCAGGTGGACTATGTGCTCGTTTGTCACGATTATTCTATAAACAAAAAACAATAAAAGAAGTATGGTGCATGTGTACACACACATGATCCACTTAACGTCAGGTGGACTATGTGCTCGTTTGTAACGATTATTCTATAAACAAAAAAACAATAAAACAAATATGCGCATGTGTACACACACATGATTCACTTAACGTCAGAAATCCGAAATTTATTTAATAAAAGGTTTAAACTGCCTGGGCAGTACGCGACCAAACTCCAAAAAAAAATTGGAAAATCAGCTGGACTGTCTTTCCAGTACAGCATATTTCTATAAGACTGAGATCTGCTGTACAAATAAAAGTTGAGATAAATTACAATAACTATTTTTAATACGGTTAAATAATCTATAATTCTGCTTCGTTGGTCAAGTGGTCGTAAATGCGGTTGCTGGTCTTGGATTTGAACTTGGGTCGGGCCAAAATCAGTTATTGGGTTTTTCTATCAAGAAATTCAGTTTTTTTTTTATTTAAATAAATAATAGCAATGATATTTACTTTACTAATATTTCCTTTAACCACACCTGGTAAGCTGAAAATGCTTGTGTTAAGACTGGCACACGGTAATAGTTGAATGGTGGATTCGAACTCACACCTTTTGAGTTCGCGGTTCGCATCCAGCCATTAGGCTACTGTCGCTTAACAATGCATCGCCGAGATAGGAAGTTGGCGGTATTTCACCACCATGTTTCGGACAGCACGTAAAGCTGTAAGTAAACGATCACACAGTCCACCTGATGTAAGTGGATGATGTGGCCGACAGACATCTACATTTATCCTCGGTTATAAGTCTTGCCTAAATGGCTAGTATTGGCAGAAATTCGGTCTGGAGGATATTATTAGGATTAATTAGTCTTATGATGTAACAATTCAGCCGCGCTAAAGTCCAGTAAGCGATCGAAGCGATCGAGCGAAGTGCGATTGCAACTAGTTTTATTGTACACATATAGGACTTCGTGGACTTATACTTTGACAGCGGAGAACGCCTGCGTATAGCTATTTCCTTCAAACCGCCGGTGGTAATCTATTCTAAAAGAAAAAAAAACAATCAAAAATATGTGCGTGCGTGTCACCTGCAGCTGGTAGATATGCGGCGGATAGGGGTGGTAGGTGAAAGGGTAGGGCAGCGCCAGCGGCACTGCGGGCACTGCGGGCACTGCGGGCACTGCGGGTACGGCGGGCACGGCCGGCACGGCGGGCACGGATAGCGTCAGCGGCTGCGCGCGCGCTGCCTCCTCGCACGCCTCCTCCTCGCCCTGCCCCTGCCGCAGGTACAGCTCGTGCCAGTAGCGCGCCACCGTGTACAGCACCTCGGGGTACACGCCGCCGCCTGCAACCGCTGCTAGTCACTCTCTCTGCCCACATTCACCACGCCTTTCCCAATTAACCAAACAATATAGTGCCACAAGTTCTAACCTATAGGATCAACGGTAGATCCGATACATATTAATTATTGCTTAGAAAATCATCCAAAAGGAATATTCGTATGAAAACACGAATGCGCATTAACATATAGAGGGAATCAGAGGAGCCATTCTCATCTTAAAATCGTCTAATCTAATGTATCATATGAACACAGCATAATTATGGACAGTACAAAAACTAACTATAAACGCTCGAAACGACACACTCACACAAACATGCGCAACGACGAGACTCTTAAGACCAATGATTTCAAAAGGAAGGACAGGCCCTTCTAAATATTTTACTCATAACTTTTTCATACAAGAAAAAGTAGCGCATCTGTCATAATACAAACGTCATATCAAAACACGACGTAACCAGGGTCGGATTCCATAGTATAATTATCCTAATTGTATCATTATTTCATAGTTTGTAGTACATAATATCGTAATAATACAAAGCGAAAATACCATAATTTTACCTAAAGGTCGACTTGTATTATTATTGGGTCCTTTCAAATTTTAATATTAACCCTACGATATCGAGAATTTTTGTATTTTACATGAGTACCGCGTTTTTTTTTAAATAAAATTAGAATTAGCTATATATAATTATGCTCGATCAATGCATTTATGTTGCATCCTTGATACAACTTTAATGAGGGGCTACCAAGATAAAAACCCTATGCTCCAGAAGCAATTGGTTTGAAAACAGAATTTCAAAATATTTTATGAATCAGATTTTCAGATTCAATTAAGCAGATATGGTTTCTTTCCTATTCTTTTCGATTTACTCTAATTGAATATGACATACTATAAGGTACCAATATTCAAATTTAACTTACACTAAGTTCTTTAGACAAAAATTAAACAGAAACAGTCAAAAAACGAAACGTAGAGATAAACTATACGCGTGACGCCAAAATCCCGGTACATGAGAAAAAAGAAACATGAGACGTCAAACGTGATATTATAATTTATTTAAAATAGTACAATTTTAATTTCCATGTACAATATTTTTGAGAGTCTGAATACAGCCCTGGCCTAATCTTGGTAACGTAACTAAACTAAGTGTAAAATAAAACTTTAAAAATGCGTTTATATAATAATATAATTGTAACAAAATTAATATAAGGTTATTTACCGATGATACGATATCCCATGGTTTTTATAAATCTTTGTTTCGTAATTTTTGCATTTTTTACCACGCAACTAGACATATTACATATTTATGACAGGCAAATCTGTCCTGCGCACGCACTACTGTCGACCGATTCGCGTTGGCCCTAAACTGCAAATTTTAGGGCCAGCGCACTGGTCCGTTTTAGTTGTTCGGTCGGCCCGGTCCTTACGCTAGTAATATATAAGTTAATGCTTAAGACTCGTCGCGGTGCTCTCACCTCACAGTAGTGACTAGTGAGTGCCGCAACAAGACGAGTTAAGTCGCGATCTTTTTAAATATGGGCATATTTAAAAAGATCGCGTACACAACACAAACACACAAACACGTACACAAACGTATTTAGTATACGGCTGTTTGAACTCGGCTTCATCAAAATCGGAGCTATCATATTTTAAACTTCCTGCTGATTTTGAAAGGTAAGAATGATTTATTGTTATTGTTATAATCGTTATCGAATTATAAGTCCGTATGATCGATCATAATGAATTCGTGAACTTACTTGTAAATCCAGAATGTAGCGGACAGTGATTAGAAAAAGACTACCAATCACAATAACCTGACATTTTGATGGATTAAACCTAATACAAAATCTGTCTGATTAAATAATTAGAAATACAATTGAGCTTCTTAAGCACATCCTAATCACTCAGCTTGAGTATAAATTTGCAAGTCATCAGCATACTGATGGTACGAACAGCGAATGTGGGATGTAATGAGATTTATAAAGACTGAGAACAGGAGAGGAGAAAGAATTCCTCCTTGAGGAACGCCAGCAGGCAACAAGCACCAATCGGAGGTGATCTGACCTACTCGAATTGCCTGCTCACGACCCGGAAAATATGAGGAGAACTAGTGCCGCGCTGACAAAAAGAAACCCGGTGACAAAGTATAGCTAGGAAAATATTATGATCGACAGCGTTAAAAGCGTTAGAGAAATCTATTAGGACTAACACAGTCAATTGTGAGTTCTCCATTTCGGTACGCTAATCTTCCATAACATTCAAAAGAGCTGTGGTAATACTGTGCCCAGGCCTAAAACCAAATTAACATACGCTAAGAAAGTTATTTTTGAAAATTTGACTAGAAATTTGTTTGCGGATAATAGCTTCAAAAACTTTAGGAAAAAAAAAGGGAAATTAGATATGAGGCGAAAGTGAGAGAAAGAACTAGGGTTATTTATTTTGGGCAGCGAAATAGCAATGTTTGTCTCCAATTTGTCGGAAAATCCCCAGTCAATAGTGAATGATTAATGATGTGAGTAATAATAGGAATAGGAATAATATTATAGTCTAGAATTAAGGTGATGATAAGTCTATTTACATCATCGATACCAACTGCCATAGACTAAAATAAATACAATAATAACTTTCATATCTTTAATATATTGTTTATGCTGCATTGTAATTTAGATAATTATTAATTTAGATTACTATTACCAAACCTGCTGGTAGACTGTTTACAACACGAGATTAATAAAAAATGAAAAGTAATAAAAATAATTAATGAGATAGGTATTAAATCACTTTGGTCTTAAAACAATTACAAAACATTAAATATAAAATGCATCAAAAGTTGTTCTTATACACCCGATATATTAACCCTTCAATCCCCATAAAATTCCCATGCAGTCTCATGCGCCTGACAAATCCCGAGCGGTCGCATGCGACCGCACCCACCCACAGCACTTAAAACCATTAAAACTTATATTTAGAGACTACTTTTCTACGAAGAAGTTTGGCATTATAAAATCTATACAAAATTCTCTATCCTGTGGTCTAAACAAAAGTCAGGTTTTAGTTCATTACAAAAAGATTTTATTGTATTTTGATAACAAAAAAAAAACCAAGCGAATGTCGGCAGCGTGAAAATCACAATTATTTCTATATATTACTCGAAATCATTTACGTAAAAAGATAAATTATATTCACATAAAACTTTTATAAACATTAGAAAAATCCGAAAATCAACACAACAACATCCAAATGAAAATGGCGTACGTAATGAACGTTGAATATAAATGAATATTCATAGACTGTTTTTTTATTCCACTAGAGGATAGAAAATTTCATATTGATTCTTAATGAAATTCTTTTGATTCTTAATGAAATTGAATTCTTCATGATGATTAATAATGCCAAAGTTCTTCATAGAAAAGTACTCTAAACATAAGTATTTATGGGTTAAAGTGCTGTGGGTGGGTGCGGTCAAATTTGACCTCTTGAATTTTGACGGAATATCGAAGCGGTCAAATTTGGACGTTTGGCGTTTGAGAGGTTAAACAAAAATATAAGATATTGAAACACCGCCAATAAAATATTCCATAATGTTAATTCATAACCTAAAAGTTGTTTACCAACTCTGAGCGGTCAGTGAATTAGAACAAAGGGGACTGCGTTTACTGTACAGAAAAAAGATACCTGCGCGTATCGCTCGTATGGTTATTGATTGTTAAACTTAATAAGTTTAACAATCAATAACCATACGAGCGTCTATGTATAATCATCAAACAAATTATCGTTACAAGTATCTAATATTATTGTTTTTTAACCGTATGCCTAGTTCGTGGTACTTCGTTGCGCATGTTTCCAGACTCCTTCGAAGCCCTGGTTTCTTCATCACAACCTGCCTTGCAATGTTCACATCATATCAGCCAGTTGATGTCTTCATTAGACTAAACACTCTGGAAATACTATTGGGCAACCTGACGCTGAAGAAGCCATTTCAAGACCAGACCTTCTTCATCCCAAATTGTCTTCGAGCTTGCACGAACTACTCTGCCTGTATTTTGTGAGAAACTCGGATAACGTAAACGGAGTTCACTTCAACATAATCTTTTTGTACCAGGCGGTAGAACGCATCGAGAAATCAGCAAAGCTGAAAAGTACTGGTCGGTTATGATCCGTCTTTGCCGAACCGAGTCTATAAGCCATCCGGACCACAGAATAAATAATAGTACTACGTACAGAAGTTGCTCTCCTTTGATGTCAACTGCTTGCCGACGTTTAATAGCCTATAGTTGCCGACACGAGTCGTGAGCACAGATATACTGTGGTGGGAGGTAGGTACACTGTCGGGCAAAATTATTGGGTACCCTTAATAGTTCAATTCGTAATTGAATATTTTCGCCGACTTTTATGAAAATGTTTACTCGAACACATCAAATTTTACTTTGATACAGTAATGTTGCAGATATTCGTGTCCGTTATTTTATTATCTACTATAAAGTATTTAATGTATACCTGGTGGTTAGAATTGATTATTTTATTAAGAAGAAGGAAGAGGTGATATGCCTTCCATAAAATCTGGTGTTGCGGTGCGCCGTACAGTAGCTACTGAGACATTAGTCGCCTCAGCAGTCTGTTTATATACGTCTATGATGTTTTTCGCAGTATTTATTTATTTATTTATTTATTTATTTATTTATTCAGGATAACAACAGCTTATCTAATACTTAAACAATATTACTTAACATAATTAAACATGAAAAAGCCAATTATAGTTATCCCCAAAGTAGATAACCAAACATAACACTGAAAATCTAATACACTACAAAATAAAATCGGTAAGAACTAGTTACTAAACAGTAACAAATTAATTGAAGTAATAATATTACCATCATGACGTACATATATATACAAGTACAGATGTATATACGTACAAGAGACATACATAATTACACTTACAAACACACACATATGAATCTATAAATGCAAATATACTTTGGTGTTATTGTTATTATATAAA